CGTCGTGTAAACGATCGTAGGACGAATGCGTTAGCATACTACGACTTGTAGGACGATAAGTCAGGAAAGAGATAGAAAAACGGTTGTCCGCAATAGTCGGCAAGCGATCGTTAAAGCGTATTGGGGAAAGCCGGAGTTTGTGTCTTCTCATTCGCGGCATTCGTAGATAAAATGTGGGAAGGGGGAGGGAGGAAGAGTCGGAACGACTGTTCACCCGTTTCCTTACAAACGATACGCGGGATTCATCTCCAGGGCTTACCCTCGCTTTATTCTCTTTCTCCATTCTTCTCAGCAAATCCTCCCGCGGTATCCGTAACGTCGCGATGCGAGTACGAGTCTTTGAACGTTATCTGATTCGACGGAATCGTAAAGGAACCGAATCGCTCTCCTCGCGAAAATACATTTCCCAGTTTCCCCGCGCCGATTCGAGAGCAGTTCTAGCAAAGCGGCCCTCTCCCGAGTCTTTCCGCCACCTGTATCCGATGGCAATGGAAATCTGCTCGACAGGATCGATATTATTGCGTGGAAAATGCGCATCAGTCTCCAATCGTACAGTCGAGAGACGTAGATAATCTTGAATTTTTTATTTCACTGATGTCCATTTCAATGTAGATTAACTACAATCTCAGTTTAATTTATTCTTTTCTAATTCCCAAAACTAGAAAAAGATAAAAGTAGATTAAACCAAATCAGAATTAATCTACATTGATAGAAATGGACATGAGAAAAATATTTGGTGTTTGTGACTATATTTGTATGATAAATTTATAGTTCTACTAAAAATGAGTACACACACACAAATTGGCTAAATTAAAATTGACTATAAATTATAGTTAAATTACGGTAATCGCAATTATATTTTTCCCATAGTGTGTAATATATGTCTAAATAACAAGTTCTCCTCTTATCCTAACAACATCCTAAAAACTTTGCTTATTTTACTTTTTTCTATTATGGAAATAATTAACGGTTCTGAACGTGTAAAAAATAATATTATATGTTTTCAGGACCGTTAATTATTTCCGCAATGAAAAAAAGTAAATCTAGACACAAAGTTTTTAGAATGCTCGATAAGAGGAGACGAACTGCAAGAAAAATTATCTCAGCATATCATTCGTCGCCTCGTTTCGTAAAAAGACTATGAAGAACTCGAGAGAATCGCCAGCCAGGACGACGCTGCCACGTATCGGAGAACGTTCGTCGTTGTCTTTGTAGGATGCCACGACGCGACGTGAACGCGAGTAGAAAGGCGGACGGCGAACGGGGGAACGGGGGTGGTGGATAAAGGGGGAAGAGGAAGGGGATCGTCTTTTCGGATGGAACCGGGTGTTAGCCGGTGCTCTCTTATCTCGCGGCGATCTGATCCTAATTTATAGCCGCGTTCCAAATAAACTAGTTTTCGCTGTCGTCACCTCGCTTCCTCCCTTTCCCTGTCCCCCGCGTGTGTATATATACCGAACGCGTCGGTACGTTCGCATCTCGGATGCGCTTATAATGCTACCCTCTCCTCTTTCGGTTCTCTCGGACCGGCACCCGCTCCGGTCCGGACCATCCTCGATCTCTGCCTCCTCCTTCTTTCCTGTCGCGCACAAACAGACAGGTATACGAAGGAGGGAGAGAAAGAGAGAAAATGTACATATGTGTGTGTGTGTGTGTGTGTGTGTGTATACAGTGTGTGTGTGCGCGAGTTGCTCAGGTCGCACAAGGCAGCGCCTTTTGTAACACCTACCACCAGGTAGAGCCGATCTCCTCTTTCGTTCTCTTTCCGATTGCACCCGAAAAGAGGTGATCGGAGGGAGAAACAGGGACCACGAAGAGACAGCCTCCGTGCAGAAGTAAAATCCTTTGGTGATGCCTGTGCTCTATAATTGCCAATTAGCGCGAGGATGTTTAATCGCCATTAGGACGATGGTAACCAAATGCTCGAGGATCAGGCTAAGCCCTTCCTCCTTAGGTGGACCCGCGTCTAACTATCGTCGCTTTTTAGCTAGCGATATTTACACGATCTCACGGCATCTGCATAAAATTCGCGACCACCATGCACCCGTGATCCGCCTCGAAGGCGCGAAAGGATAGGCGATCTTTTTAACGGCTTCGAGATTCCGAACGGGGGAATTCAGGTGTCTCCTTAATAAATCCTCGAATACGTCGTCGCGGTTTCCCGCGTATTCTCCTTCTCTCTCTCTCTCTCTCTCCCCCCCCCCCCTATCTATTTCTTTTTCTCTAAAAGGTAAAAGTCTACTGTTGCCGATGCTTCTTTGAGAAACATGCGCGTTTCTGGAATTCCCGTACGACCTCGGAGGTTTCATCAGAGGCGATACGCTCGTAGTATATCGCGTCCTTCTTTGTCCTCGACCTCCATTTTGCGAGACGCAACACATTTCGATCGGTTTATCGCACGTACGGTCGTCTAACGTGGCTCGTGAGATCTTCAGGGCCGAGGTGAAGACGATAGCGAAAACGGATTTATGTTTCTAGATGCGCGCTAGATGGCTTCGTTGCTACCTGGGTAATCGGGGAAAGATCGCTGAGAGCACGCATCTCCACCTTTTTCGACCCTGACGTGGCGAGACGTCGCTATCATTCACGTGATTTCGTGACTCGACCGCTCGGCCGGCCAACGCGGATGCAAATATTATTGATTGGGAATAAAAACGCAGATCGCAGATCGCATGGCGCGCTCCTATGTGCTTCTCTGCCCCCTCTGAATATAAATCGACACGTTAATTCTAAAACCGGACAGATATACAGGCGAGAGAGATCCTATCTCGACTTATTAAAAAAAAAAATGACGTTCAGCATTGCTGCTCGCTTCGGTACGGTGATCATACTCGTATACGCGTAAAAGATCTGCGAACGAGACGGCTCGTTATCCTTATGCCCTTACGCATTACCGAGTAAACACTCCGTGCTCGTGTACAAACTCCAACGAGATTATTAATAAAGTTATAAAATAAACAGACTCTCCCGCTTATCTCGAGCACATTATAATTAAATCATTATAGAGGCGCATACACGCTGCTGAATTTTCAAGGAAATAATTCGTGTCGATACGCGAGCGGAATGTTAACTTCTTTTATAAAAATGCGTAACGTAAGGCGAGCTATCAGCGTGAGTTATTATTAAAATTCCCCGGTAAACCGGTGCTTTCATTGAATTAATGATTGTTTGATGTTTATAATTTCATGCGTCGGGCTGTCTTCTACATTATGCAAGGCTACCGCGACCGGCCACATGAGACCAGCGCAATAATTACACGATAGCGCGTTGCTATTAGTGGAGCGTTCGCTGTCCTGCGATATCCGGTAGCGAAGAATTCGAGCAATGAAATTCGCATTATCGCATTCACCTGCGCGACCGTTCGATTTCGTCGTTCCCTCCTCGAGGGGGTATCGTTCTAAGCGCGCAATATCGCGGATGTCGATCGACACGAGATATCCGCGCTATCTTTCCCTCGACTATAGTTAAATTACGACGTCACGTTGAACGATCCTTTTTCGTAATCGATGATCCTCAGCCGCGATTGTATAAATAAATTATAATATCGTCCCTAGAGTGCAAATGGATGCGCACGAAAGGAAATTCATTGTCGTAAGATTTGAATCCGCTACGTCAATGGTCGTTCAAATGTGAATTTATCACGGATGTCAAGATATTATTTAAAGAAACGCACAACTGCAGTTAATTCGCTATGTTTATAAATTATAGATGAATAGCTTGAAAGATTTAGCGTTTATATAGGTACTATTTAAATACTTGACGGTTTTATCGTGAAATAAAACGTTTCACCACTTTTGGCTTGTTGAAGATAATGGGAATGAATAAACAGGTTTTCTATAGAGCGTCAATCATCGAGACATCAACGAGTATAAGCAGCTTTGCGTTTGTAAAAAGAAAAGGCACTCGGATTGCGGCATTGGCTTATTTCAAATTAATGACATGAATGGAATTCTATTATCTGTCTATCACCTGAGATTCAGTTCTCACGAGAAGACAGTCACACATCTTATCTTAAGGATACATTTTACGTATTTTTTAACAAAAATGAAAAAAATATGAAAAAATTACAGATTTCATCTATATTATATTATATTTGAAAGTAATATAAAAGTACAAAAAGTGTGACGGTGATTTAGAACCTAGGATATCGATCATGTAACTTTTTTTGTAGAGCGGAAATGTGAAAAGTGGAAATTTTTATGTATGTACGTATGTACATATACGCACATAAAAATTTTCACTTTTCACGTTTCTGTCTTAAATAAAAAATTACATGATTAATATTCCCTGGATCAAAAATTATTTCGATAAGAAATAGACATGTTTTTAAAAAATAATTAAAATAAAATAAGAAAATTTTCATTAAAACTATAAATTGCATTGTTAAATATAAATACTGAAATGTTATTGAACTCTTTCATGTGTGTGTAAAACATCCATTTTTATCGAAAAATGTAAATTTTCAATTCCAGTTACTTTTTGTGGAGAGTATGCACCTGATACATCCTTAACGTCAATTCGACACACCGAGGCGAAATAATCTTTTCAGTTATCGATTGCAACGTCATAGATTGCGGATCCCAAACTGCGTATATGCAATCGCAGTTTTTTTCTCTCCTTCGCTTTATCAAATTAAAGCTGGCAAGGTCACCTGGAATTGATAGCGATAAACGTCGGGAGACATTTTATCGTGCACATAGATCGTTCCAAGTTCCATAATACAATTTACACAATAGAAATGGAAGCGGGGACGCGCGGTGCGGCCGCGGCGCATAAATGATAATCACAAATGTTTATTGCCCAGCGAAAAGAGACAGCGGTGCGATGCCTCGTCGGTGGTAACCAGCATGCATGTAACATCCAGATGTCACTGCGGAAACTTTCGAAACGACTTGCTGCATAATCGCGCAACATTTGTCATCCGGGTAGACGCGCGCGTCATTTCGTTCGCGACCCGGCGAAGCGAACGAAGCGAACGAACGTGGAGCATGATGAGAACGGACGAGGAGAAATGGGGGAAAAGGGGCACGACAGACAGGATAGACGGTCCGTGTAGCCGTTTTGAAATATTCGCCGCGGTGGTGCCGGGGGCGTCAATTCCGAAACGTCGGCCAAAATGGATATTGGCGTCCCGTTTATAATCGTACACCACGGAAATCTCCCCGGCGGCCCTCCACCGCGCGTATCATCGCGTGTCGCCGTGTCCGCATAATTGTTCGGCGAAACACGATTAATTCGTACGTGTCGCTGTATCGCCATAGCACCGATCAACGTCGTTCAGGAAACGTGACCTTACTTAGAGCTCAATCGATTATTACTGTTTCGTAATATTTCTACTTCTGTTTCTGTTAAAATACAGTATTTTGAAGAGATTTATGATTCTATTCTGTGTTTACATTGGTCCTCGCATTCATAGTTCATTAGAACTTTTGAAAATCTTAGAAATAGAGAAACTTTCTGCATTGACGCAAGGAAAACCTTTAACACGTATTAAATTGTATTCAAGGCAAGTGAAAGTAAAAACACTTTTTCGAGAAAGCTTTCAAGGTCAATATATATATATATATATATACATATACAAAATATTTAGTGAATATAATAGAAACTTCATTAAAAAACAATTTTAATGGAGTTTTTATTACATTTAATTGTTTGAGAGATCGTGGCTAATATTTTTTGTACAATTTTTATATAGCAGAACAATAATGTGCGATAAAAGCTATGTCAATTTTATCGGTATGTATCTCAGATTAGTCACCGAGAAAGAGATGTTGCTTCCTTTTAAAAATTACACAACTACACAAACGTAATTTTCGAGTTATTACATGCATGAATGAATTAAGTAAACGTTATCTTATGAATCATAAAAACGAATTAATAAATGATTTCATTAAAAAATCGTCGAATCATAAGGTATTTTAAGAGTGAAATGAAAATGATAAAAATTGGATTATGTTTAAAATATGTAAAAAATATTTTTTGCAGATATATATATATATATATATTATTTAATTATTTAATAGTCAATAATTTTCTATCAAGTTGAAAAATAATTTTTTCTTTTTTTTTTTAAAAACTTAATTTTTTTAGTTGTTTTCTTTTTTAAGGAAAAAAACGATAAAACAATCGATATTGATTTGCTTATATATTAGTCATAAGTCCCATCAATGTTTTCATTATTATAGTATAAAGTTCCGTTAATGACGATTACGATTTCTACGAGCAATTTTTGATCGCGTTAACTTTATCAGTTTGGAAAGTAAAAACTGTTGGTCTGCAGTTAGCATAATTCCACATAAATCGTCACGATTAAGTAAGAGTTTCGTGCTTAGAAATTACGTTCTAATCTTCCAGAGAGTTAGGATTTACGAGGTATTGCTGCTATCAAAGTCCTTGTTACGTAACTCGCGTGTCGTCCCAAATACATCACGCAAAAGTAGTCAACAATTGTAGCAAACAGTTACGGGCGTATAAACGTTCGTTTAGTGCCGATACCGGCGGTAATGGCTGAGTGAGCAACGTATTTTGCATAATGATCGTATTTTATCTCGCGGCACGTGTGGTTTGTCATTTATTAACATTGACAATCGCTGTCATGGTATCGCGGGACAAACGATTATCCGTTAGAGTCGCAAAAATGGCCTTGCGATACATAATGAGCAGGTTTCCTATGGTTGCCCCTTTTTTTTTACCGCTCCTGATGTGGAATCTATATCTCCGGCATGTCGATCGTGAAACGGGCACCGTCCACCGGTGTGAGATACGGTAATCGAGTATCGATAGGCGCAAACGAGCGTACGTACTCAACGTCGATTCCACCGCTTACGGATGTAAGCGCTCTAGTAATAGTACGTTTACGAGTTTACAAAGGCATCGACATTTTCATGGGTATCGTCAGCTATTTAAACCGATTGTCTGCTCGTCGAACGGTTTGTAACGAGGAGTCACAATTGTCGCATGTCTTATCAACGACTATACGCCAGCCTCGAAGACCGTAATTGTTCTCTTGATAATCCATAACTTTGTGCTAGTCTTTGTGACTTGTTATATGGAAATAAGAAGCCAAGATAATGTGTGCATTTCGACATTATTTAAACGTGTGAAACACAACGAGTACTCGAACCGAACATTTGGAAATAACATGCTATTCTTACACTAATGTCAGTTTCTATCAATGGAGATTAACTTTAATCTCAGTTCAGTTTACTCTTCATTCTTTTTAATTGTTAGAATTAGAAAACAATGAAGAGTTACAGTTAAACCAAGATTAAAATTAAACATTGATAGAAACGGGCATTAGTAGCGTGTACATTAATGCTGCTTCAGTAAAAAAAACAGCTTTGTAATTGCCGTAAAATTCTGTAACATGATTGGTTCATTAAATCTAAATATGTAATGCTCGTTTCTACTAATGTAGATTAACTTTAACTTCGGTTCAACTCGCTCTTCAAATTTTTCTAATTTTTCTAATTAGAAGAATAAATTGAACCGAAATTAAAGTGGAAACGGGTATTATATATTTAGATTTAATGAAGAATTAAGGGCAAGAATCAATCATACATCAAAGAATCTTATTGTACAATAATTGTAAAACTGTTTTTACTGCTGAACGCAGCCAATATTCCTTTTTTCTTCTACGCAGGAGAGAAGAAAAGAGAAAACACGGCGACATCGATCTAAGACCATTTTCATTTTTCTGTTGCAGAATAAAGTGGCGCCATTGAGGGAGAGGTCCTGCGAGGAAGTCTTGCGGCCGGACTGTAAATACGCGCTCCTGAGTGGTTTCGGGATTTATTAGCGTTATCTCGACTTCACGTCAGAGGTGGAGGGAGAAAGAAGTGCGAGGAGTAAGAGAAGCGGGTAGAGGCAGTCGGGCAAGCAGGAAGGAAGGAAGGGAAGAGAGAGGAAGGTGGTCGACTCTTCGAGATACATAAATCGTTCCCCGACCTCTGGAAGGCGCGACTTGGAAAAGACGTATGAGAGGGTAGAAGAGCGACTGTGCGAAGCGGGAGTACGCGAGAGAAGAGGCGGCTTAGAGGAGATTTAGGAATTAGGAGAATTACGTCAAAGTGCCTGCTTACGCACGGCTACGTACGGCGAAGCGACACCGGGGGCCGGGTAAGAAGAAAGTATGGGGGCCGAGCGCGCAGGATTTATGCCCGACGCACTCTCCTCAGCATGCTGCAAGCAAGAGCTGCCAGCCGCCATATTTTCGATCGGTACCATCGACCGCTGGCTGACGGCAAGAAGATGGGTTTACGGGGCAGCGCGTGTTGCGTCACCCCGTCGCTGAAGCTAACTCGAGTGAGAAGGAGTGAGAAGATTTTCAAGTTACCCAGGTCGAGTGGCCGAACATGAACTTTCCGCGATCGTCTTCGATGTTCGGATGTACCGCCGGTGTACATCGTCCTCACACGTACACTCACACACGCACCCCACACATGTAATCGTGAGTCCTTCTTTTCCGTTTAGTCAATGTTTCATTACCGATCGTTCAGCGACGTCGCGAGATTTCTGGAAAAGCACTGCGCGTGAAGAGCTGTCGATTTTGTAAATAAAGGACGCGCAGATGCCGATCACTTCGGGAATCCGTATTGATTTCGCACTGAAGATCGCGTACGTGTATACATATACAATACCTCCGATGGAAGGGCGAATCGTTTCTAAATATCCCGCAAATTGGCGGATGAACGATACGTTCCTTCCGACGCGAAGATATCAATCGCGAATTATACGGGCAACGTGCAAGATAGCACTACTTCTTCGTTACGAAGTAACGGGGTCTTTCTTAACGGTCGTCGCTGGAAATCAGTCGTTTAATTCGGCTCAAGAGAGAGAAAGAGAGTTTCGGGACGCTCAAGCGAATATACTTCGACCAAGTCGCGCGAATATCGTGAGAAAAAAGACAAGAGAAAAAGAGCGTAAAGAGAAACACTCGATCTACCTGTTGTAGGTTTAAGATGAAAATAGGGGAAAAAACAGATCGCGTAGCGCATTACAAAGCTACTATCGTTAAACTTATCACTAACTCCTTTAATTATCCGAATGAAATATTAACGTATACCCGAATACCCGCATATAGAGATGGAATGATAAATAGTACACCTACGCATTACACATACACACGGTGACACGCAAGTAACTCTAGGCCGTAGATCTTAAGGCTGTACCTACTACATCACGAAATTTTATCGGGGTGACGCGTCTTAAGGATTTTACAGAGAAAAAGAGAGATCCTCGCCGCAGAGTATACATCGCTATATTATAAGTATAAATAAATATATATGGGTAGAGTTGGCGCAATGCTTACGCGCCTAACAATAAGACTAACAGCGACGAGAGGAGATACGGTGAGAAATTGAATAATAAATCGTTAAGGATCAAATTCGTCCCTTTTCGCGCGACAACCGTGCACTCGCGCATCTCAGGTCAAGCCGGGACATCGAAGATACAAATTCGTATATGTAGTATACAATTTTCCTAATACGTGTTGCATTCGATTGTTGCCTAATACTGTATTTTGTTGTATTTTTTGCAATTATCCGTTTCTTTTATGGACAATTTTAAGTTTGTTGGTAGATATAGTCACTGTTGATCAGCATTATATTCTTAGAGAAGAGAATATTATGGCTTTACTCACAATTCTTACGCGAGAAATACGAAGACATCGCGAATGTGTTGCAATAAAAAAAAGCGGAAATGCGGCGTGCACGGTGCTCGAAACAAAAAATTGTTGATATTTTTTTATATTATATGTATATCGCGCGAGTCGTCCCTCTTTTCGTCGAGCCGATCACGTTGGTGATAACAACCGAGGGACGCACGACACTAGTATCTTGCGCAAATCGCGGAAGATTGTCAGGTCGTGTTTTGAAGAAAAAAAAAAAAAAGAAAAAAGGAGAAGAGTCGACTATTATTTTGTACTTTGGCGTAAACGTAAACGAGAGCGCGCGCGCGAGTCATCGTCGGCGGTTGAGACTCTCAACTTGAGAGGGAGCGTTGAATGGAACTTGTACATTGTTTTGTAAAGAATACATTTATTTATATCTGTGATAACGGGAGAGTTCAACGGGGGGAAGGAAAAGGAGGGAAAACGATAACATAAGGCGTTCGCGGTATCGGTATACTCTGACGAAGACGGTCGGTGCTCGTGCATTCGTTGACACGTATATCATAGTATAATTATATAAATATGGTAACGTTTTTTTGTAAATAATCAGAAAAGTATAGAGAGATAGAGAGAGAGAGAAGGAAAGAAAGAGAGAGGGAAAGGAAAACATGGATGGTGTGTACCGCTTTGCGGACGAAGGTTAAGGAGGAAGAGGTAAATAAAAAAATTATATAAATATATAAATATAACGCACGTTTTGTGTACATTGTCGCACCTTCGTGAGAGAATCTATTTGTTGTGAATAGTACACGTAATAATACAGATATATGCTATGACTATTAGGTTTTATTCGCTTGTTCGTACGGATTCGACTGTAAAATAATTAAATTGTACATAGTTCTGAATGTGAATATAAACAGAAAAAATATATATATACATATGTATGTATACATACATGTATATATATATATATATTATTGCTATCATCGCTATTATTATTAACATCGACACATTATTATTATTTTCATTATTATTTTAATATTATTGTCGACTCTATCATTGTGAATTCATATTCATATTATATAATAAAATAATAGTCGTAACAATAATATGTCGATGTTCATAATAATAATAATAGTAATAGCAATAATATATATATGCGTATACATATATATGTATTATTGCTATTATCATGAATTATTATTATTAACATTGACATATTATTATTAATATTATTGTCTACTCTATTATTATGAATTCATTATATTAAAAGGAAGACTATATTACGTTGTACATGCACGCTTCATATTTTCTTTCTCCGTCTACCTCAATACCGCATTATGAAACATTATTCAGCGTTACTTTCCTCCGGTATCGGCGTTATTTGCAACGGCGACGAAGATTTATGAATAAAAGACCACTTTAACGTCGTAGCACGTTCATTGTCGTTAAAAAAACCCCCAAGTTTCATTATCCTTGACTCGATAATCGTCCTCATTCAAAATTCTGCAGATCGATATCCCGCGATCGATACGACGATCGATATTATGGCCGCCATGGCCAAACCATATTTAAGATTGTACGCACACCTGTTTGCGAATCTCCTCCTACCCACCCTGACTTTATTTTCTGCAGATTTTAAAAAAGTCACGGACGAGTTGTAAGTCGCAGCACGCGCACGCCGCAACACAGGAACCACATTGTGCCCATTCTAACGTACCACAATGGACGTCTCCGTTTTGAATATTCGAACAATGGTACTTTCGCGGTGGGTGGAGTTTCAATGAAAATACATGACTTGCGCGGAGAGAGAGGGAAAGAAAGAAGGAACGGGAGAAGGACAATGGAATCGCGCGCCATCCTCCTCCGAGAGCGGAGAAAATAAACTCTATTCGGTAGTTTGCGAACACGAGTTTGCAGCTAGTTAAAGTTTTGGAGATACGGCGCGAATGATAAATATTGGAATAAGTTGCGATATAGGTACACCCCATTACGAAACGTCTTCGTTGCTCGGCGAATGTTTAGTGCCGAATCCGCCGTATTGCGGACACAGCTGCACTGGTTCCGATTATTGATTAACATTAAATCTAGAAATGCCAATCTGAAATAAGAATCGTCTAGAACTTTCTGCTATTAATAAAAACCTACTATTAATGAGAATCTCTGAACTTTCGAACGAGACCACCCTGACGGCTCGCCAAGGGGGATTGACGCTCACCTGACCCGCGTCCTTCCGGTCTGTTGGCAACAAACACGCACTCGCGGCACGCACGACCATCGAAGATTAAAACTCGAACAACGAGAGCGAAGTAAATTTCCAGCAGTGTGAGGCAATTTCATTTCCCTTCTATATACATATTCTTACGAGTGTAAAAAGTATTTAACACTAAAAGTATCAACGTTGCTTGAGTAGAAGGATTAAGCGAATATATTGCTATAAAAATAATTATGAAAAACTAAATATTTTATTAGAACAAAGAACACGAGGATATTAATATAGTTATTGAAAAATCAAAAAATTTCAGAATTCTATCTTTTACACGAGAAATATAATATTATCTAAAAATTATAACGGTGACCGCTCGGTACTTCTACTCTGAGAATGAAATTCTAAATTTTAATAAATATTTATTTGAATAGTGCCAACTAAACATTTACTTACAGTAAATAAATATTTAAATATATTGAATATTTAAATATTCAATAAAAAGAAATGATAATTAAATTAAATTAATGGTTTTATACCAAATATATTTATCTTTGCGTTTAGTAAAAATTTAGCATTATTTAAACAAATAATTTATTAAAATTTAATACATTTTTTCAATGTAGTGTTAACACGACCATATTTAGGGAAATGAATGTCAAAGTTCTTTAATCATAATTAGAGAAAGTATTTGAGCGAAGGAACGAAATTATATAATCAAGAAATTATAAAATCGTTGCTAGAGTAATTACGGTAAGTTAATTTCCGTGCATATATAATCACGTCGGCCTATTATTCATCGCGTTGCGTGCCATCTTTCGTGGATCACGTGGTACAACACACCGATCGCACCTCGGCCGACGCGCGTGACTATATTGCCGTATGTTAAAATCCTAACAACCATAAATTGGGCAACAAAAACTCGCAGGCGGCCGCAGCAGTCAGCTAAGACAAAGGATTAGGACCTGCAATTCCGCAGCAGGATATAACGCTATAAAGTCATAACGTGTCGTGACTTTTTTATTCGCTTTCAGTCTCTTTCTCTCTTTTTGCCTCTCCATCACTTCTTCTCCGTCCCTTCCTCCTCTTTCCATGGGTTTCCTCTCTCGCACGAGTATCGGGGTATTCCATTTGAAGTCGTATCGCCACGCCGCGCCACGACCAGGCAGATGCAAGCAAGTGAAGTTTACACGAATCGGCCATATAACAACCGTCCTATATCATTTGACAAGAAATATGAGATCTCACGGCCAGCTATGTACGTACATTTAACGCAGCGAACACCGCGAGCAAATCTTCCGCGTTAATCCGTCCGAATCACTTCGATCCGGAACGGTACCATGCAACACGGTATATATGTATATCGAGACAAATATTTTGAAAGGATGTATCATTCAACGATAATTCGGACGTCGCACTCCCGGTGACTATAAATCTCCCCAGCGCGCACATATATAATTGTATCGCAACTTGTTTTCGTCGTCGCGGTACACGTGTCTCAAATAAATGCCACCCATAAGTACGGATCGTGACATATATAATTTGTATAATCACCCGCCGAGAATACTTTGCTGATAGATTAATGATTGTAGCGCTACGCGAATACTCTCGTGAATTAATATTCATGAACTCCCTTCCGTCCCGCTCCCCTGTGAACGTCGGTCTCCGCGAAATCTCGCTCGATCGCGATACTGTATACGAAAATAACAATAACCAGGAGTGATATTAATAACGGCGGTAACAACAAGCGAGAGAGACGAGATCGATAACCCCGCGCCGAGTGGTCGAGCATTACCATAAATTTGAATGTCCTCGCGCTCTCTGCCACCTCCCCCTTTTCCCTTTGTGGTCCCCTCACGATTCTTCTCGTGCTCCCTCCTCTGCACGCCTCCCGCGCACGAGCGAGCGTTTCCCCATGACCGCCACCCTTTTTACGGCTTACTTTATAGCAAAGACTCAATTTGGCCACGGCGGTTGGTGCGCATTCTCTGGTGACTAATATACCGGGATGCGCCGCGTGGGGTGCAACGGTGATGCATCGTCCGCGGTGCTCCACGTATACCTCCTCCCTCGGGGAGAAATAGGGGCCTCTACGGGACACCTTCGTTTCAAACGCGCGCGTACGCGTTTTTACGAATGGGCTCTCCTTACGAACCGAGCTCGTCCCTCTCTTAACGCTGCTCCACGAGATCGTTTAATATCCCCGACTCTCTTAACGGCCATGAGAGTGCATATTATCATTATTTTCAAATATCAGTCGCAGCAAATTAAAAAATGTAATTATATATTGAAAGAACTACTTTGCTGTTACTTAAAAGTTTGCTGGATACCGATCTGAAAATTGTTTTGTTGAATCATTAATAAAATAATTATATAAAACGCTTAAGCATTGAGGACAGTGCTGGAAAAAGTTTTAATTTTCAAGCAACCAATTTGAGCGCCCTACGTAATTATTTTTATGGTCCAAACAAAATTATTTTCAAATCTGTATTTAGCTAAATATATATATATATATTTTTTTAAATCAATTTCATAAATAAAAATATTGTCTAGTTAAAGAATTAATTATTGTAGCAAAGAAGGATATATTTGCCATGCGACAACCATCTGTTCTGTATTTAACACCTTTCACTTTTCAATAATCATATTATTACTTCCACTCTTTTATTATTTTTCTTATATATCGTAGGATATTCGATTCATAACGCCGAAGACGTAGTTTGCAAGCGTCGTAAGGCACACTTACGAATGGGCCCTTCACGAGTACACGCATTCGTGGGGGCATTCACGGGCACCACGTTGGGCCTCGTCTTCCTCACCGTGGGGCATCGGGCCGCGCTAACTTACGCCGGATTACGAACACTATTTCATCGGAACGCGGACCTCTTGGTGAGGCTGGCCACAATACGACCTCACCTTCCTCGGAGCGGATATCGCTGTATTCAAAACCGCGTCGTTGCCTATGATATACAACGAGATGTGAAAACAGCAGTTTATCGATAAAATTTATTTATGTGCATAACAGGATCGATATTATAAATTGTTTTACTCCAAGTAATAAATCACGTAAATTTAAGGATTTTAACGGCAAATAGAAAACGTATAGCAGGCATAATTCTTTCTGATTAATCAATAATTTACATCTAATAAATTTATTTACAGTTATTTTTCAGCACATTAACATCTTGCTAATATGATGCCGTGCATCAAAAATTGTCAATTAATTTAATTCATATTATTCCAGTAGTTTAATTGCGTTTATAAACGGAAAACCAAATTCGGCACGCAGTTTGAAGGACTACAAATATTGTATATATGCAAGTTATAACATATATATAATTCACATTACATTAAATATTATTTAAAGCATTAAAAGATCTAGTCTCGACCGATATAGGCTTCTATTATAGTTTATCGATTGTATTCTCACATGTACGGTCTAAAAATGAGTTTTTTATTGTTTACATCTAATGTGTTGTCTAATAATTTTTCTTTCATAATTATAGTTAATATGTGTATTGTATATAAGTGATATATGTATATCTGTTTTATATCTTCATG